GTTTATTTTCTGAGGAATGTTTTAAAGCAGCGTGGAAACCAGCCAGACCTCGTTTAGGATCAACTGGAACTATGAAATCAGTGTTAGACGCCACTAATGTGTTGGAAAAGCTGTTGCAGCAGCAGAGTATGAGTCACATACGGGTGAAGTGTTCGGGTGTCCATGTATTTTTGACCATATGATGGACGTAAAAAGCCTTATTGTTGAAACATTCAAATTTCACAACCTGTCCTGCTGATCTGGACTATTCGAGCACGTCAGCTCTACCTGGTCCCATTTTCCACATGAATTTCTTCCACTGTAGCGAAGTGGAAGTTTTTTAAAATGGCCTATTTTAAAAAACATTTATCAATTGGTTTAAATTTGCCATCACTGATAAAGTATAAACTGGATGTGTCTCTTTGGGCAGCTTTATTTTTAGATTTCTCTGTGGAAGTTTCCTTCAGAGAGTCTAAAGGGTGACCGTTCAGGGAGCGAGCACAGATGAGGTTTCTGTGGGTAAAATGCCTCCTTCAGAGTCCTCGGGATGTTACGCCTCTAAACCTGGTTCACACATTTCATGCTGCTCAGCTTCCTGGAAAAAAATGAAGATCATCATCCGTGGTCGTGCTCCTCACTTGATGTGCTCCCATCTAGCTTGGACTCTGCAGACTCTTCCACTGAAAACTGCTCGTTTGCAGCCGGATTGATAGCTAAGTTTGTAATTATTATTGGAAAACTTCCACGGAGTGATCTAAAACACGCAGCAAGCCTGGAGGCGGTGCAGAGGTGCACAAGGAGACAGTCTTGAAGTGCAGATTAGCCAAAATTAAGTCCAGAAAGTTGGGAAGTTTTATTATTTAATGAGCTTTTTGTCCATGATGGAAGTGAGAAAAGTGTTTCTCAGGAAGAGTTTCCCCCCCTAAGTGGGACTGCGGTTTATTCCCACTGTTTCCGCCCTCCCTCCTCCGTGTCTCTCTGCAGAAAGACTGCTTTAACCGCGTTCTTCATCCTTCTGTCTGTAACCCCGAAGCAACAAAGGAGCTAACGGCAGGCCCTCCTCCATCGGACCCCTCCCTTTTTCCCCTTCATGCTAAAGACACTGCAAAAGCCACGGCCGTTGTATGTATGTTATTTATTTTATCACAAGACTGTGTAGTAATTTATACTGTAAATAATGAAAATACTCTATAAATACACAGCGGACAAACGTGTAGGGACTCGGCAGCGATGATGAGGTGAAGACAAAGCAGGAAAGATTATTAATATATGAAGATCCTTCTATTGTACATACAAACGAGACGGTTATAAATCGAATGTCTGCTGTTTTAGGGAACATGAAGATGTCGATGTGTTTTTATTTTGTGTCATAGAGTTTCTCCCTGAAAGCAGTCTGGGTTTAATCTGATGTTTTTGGTGTCCGGGGTGACCGACCCGACTCGAGCACAGAGAGCAATCGTTTCAGCTGACAGTCCAAGCTAATCAGTCGAATCGTCACTAATCCTCGTGCATCCTAAGGAGTAACGTTGGCACCAACAAACGCACACTGTTGCACATTCCAAACACACACACACATGCACACACAGTCCCCCTCTTGGTGTAGCATCATGTATTTTGTGTTATGGACTCTCCTGTCGCACCTGAATTGCCTCTTGCAAGAATTTGCACATAAAATAAATCCACAGTCCATTGTTAGCTGCCACATTCAGGAGTGTACTTTCTGTTTATCGATCTGACTGAAGCGGCAAAACGGCTCCCATAAACGCCCCCGACACTCACCGAACACGTTTAGTTGGAAGGAATTTAATAATTGCACATCTCCGTGATGACGTTTGTTCCCTTTGCGTGACTGAATTTACTCTCGACTTTACTTTTCCGCCTTTGTTCAGATTCCTGACGATAGAAAAGAAAGCAAAAATCTGTCTGATTTTTCACTGTCGGCCATAAATCTGCCAAAAGCTGCGCCTGAAAGTTTAAACCACGTCCAAGACGGAAAGTTTCCCTCACATTTAGCATTCACTGAGTCCCGGGATCCAAAAGGACATCTGCGTCTGGATTAATGAGCTATACTTTCACAAAACCATCTAGACAATGTTTTTCTTTTGGTTCAGCTTGATTTGTATCTGTGAAAATGGAAAGTCAACGGACAAATTTACCCCTCCGGGAATTTCAAAAATTCCTAGATCCCAGAAAATTCCAGATTGCTTGGAGATCAATTAAGCCAGTCTTAAAACTTCCAATTATTAACATTTTTGCGAGTTTGAGTTTTTACTAAGTTTAACTGTCAGGCGTGTTATTAGTATTAAAATAATTCCTGGTTGAATCCTGGCACTTCCCTGTATGATACTCACATAACTTTCAAAAGTAGATTTTTATTGATATTTCCGATAAAGTACAGAGACGTGATTGTACGTCTTCAGTTTTGCTGATCCAGATGGTGTGCAGTGAGGATACGTTTGAGCCCAGATTGTAATCCAGACATTTCTGGCAGTAACAACTTATAATCAGCTGATTTAGAGGCTACAGGACTGCACCTGAACCATCCTCCCCTCATAATCGGACTGCATTTCTGTTCACTCTGAAGCTGTGTGCATGACTACTTAAAAATTTGCTAATTTTAGTATCTCGGAGTATTTAAAGCGACACAGTAGTAGTAGTTTCTGATTGGCTACGTCATAAAGACGCAATTTGAAGAGCGAATCCCTGGGTGGGTGGGGCTTCTCTGTCTGAGATGACCATATAAGGAATAGCCTCACTTGGTGACCTCATACAGAGCCAAGGGTAGAAAAAAAATAAACTGTTACTGAGTTTTTAGTTTACAGGGATTCCTACACATACACTGACCTCATAAATTGAACTTTTGTCCAGGTTTAACAAAAGCACCCAGCATTCTAACATTAGGTATATCACAGAAAATAAGGGAAAGGAGAATAGCATTAATAGTTAACACGGAAACTTTGAGTGATGCTTCTGTGCTTCTGTGTTGTAAACATGATACGTTTTTGCAATATCAGAGCCAGATGTTGACAAGAATCAAATTAAACTGAAACGGCGTATTCATTAACAGGTTATTGGCCTGATTTATTCAAAACCAGGCGTCAGTATTCAGCGCCTTCCTGTGTTTGATCTTAAACTTGTTCTTACCCGTCTGGCTATAAATAGCTCAGCAAACGTCCCGCGCTGCAGGAGCCAAGGTTGCGCCCTTGGAGCCCCAGACAAACCGTCGGTTTCTTGGCTTTGCGTCTGAGTCGCCGTTGTCGCAGCACGTGAATTCATCCTTGTCGTCATAGCAACAGCACGCCCGAGGAGGGTATCTTCGAATGAGCATCGTGAGCTTGTGGAGTCGGTCTCGGCTTTAGGGCCAAATTAATGTCGCATTGCGACGTGCGAGGGGAAAATCTGGACCTTCACCTGAAACACTGATGAGAGCACAGATTATTTAACAGGTTGAACTGAAACATCTTCAAACTAATCCAAGTATTTCACAGCCAGGTGTTTGTTCACAGGTGAACTCAGCCTGCTTCACAATGCAGCATCAACTCCCTGGATACTCAAATATAGTTGGAGATTTGCCTTTGTCTCTATGGTCTGTAAAGGTTTTTGGTTCTTTAAACTTGATGATTTTAGAGATCACGGTCTCTCTGTGTGTTTGTCCTCTCTGTTGCGCAGAATTAGTGTCAAATTTTATTGGAGAAGTACAATAAAGTCACAAGTTAAAACTCGTTTTAATGCAGCTTCAAGATTTCCTGTAACAACGCAGTGCCTCTGACGTCTCCTCGCAGTGTTTCCATCCATGACAAAGAGGCAAAAATGAATCCTGCAGTGCAAGAGCGTATTTAGAAATCAGCACATTCTTGACTTGAACACTCACTGGGAGAAAAGATGAAACATTCAGCAATAAGAGAGTCTTCAGTTTGTTTGAGAGCTGTCTTTTTAAAAAGCGGGATTTGGTTGCGTTTTTCTGTGTCGCGTTAAGTGGAAGAAACGGTTTAAGCAGCGAGTGCTGACAGAGGTGACATTGGAGAGCAGCGTGAAAAATTTGAGCTCCGCGTTTATGTTTTAGATTTGCAGCAATTGGTGTTTGTTTGAGGCGCCGAAATCAGAAAATTGAGTGTTGTTCACTGACCTCTGTTCATTTCTGTGTTCAGACTGTCTGCAGGCAGCAAACAGAAAACAAACAGCCCTGAGTAAACAACATGTAACCCCCCCACACACACACACACACTCGCACACACACACGCTAAAATCCAGACTTGCAGACGTTCAGCACTGAGGGAACAAACGGCGTTCCACAAATCTTTTCATCAGGATGAAGAAAAGCAAGTCAAACCACTTTAATATGTCCGTGTTTTTCTCCTGTGTGCTTGTTAATGTTGAAATATG